TGGGAGGTTTGAAAACCCAAAATGGACGTGACGGCGGCGAAAAATCCGTTTAAATGATGGCTTCCAACACTCTGCCAACCTTCAATCATCATCTTCTTCTTCAATCATGCTTCTTCGTCATATGGGTCTGAGCCAATCAATATGAGGAAGAGATAAAGAACCCTTCTTCTTCGTCATCCTGGTCTCGCTCTCGGTTTTGATTGCTCTCATAATTACAAGAGGAACGGCGGCGGTGGAGGACATAATGCATAGTGGTGGCTGTGGATTGGTGTATTTTCGTTGGGTTTGGGTTTGGGTTTGGGTTTGGGTTTAGGTTTGGGTATGGTAGAGTTTCAATTGGGTTTGGGTGTGTGGTTGAGTTTATCTTTGTTATATCTTCAGTTGATATATATATATATATATATATATATATATATATATATATTATACAGGTAGAGGGAGGGAGAGAGAGGGGTTTAGGTAGAAGTAGATGAAGAACAGTAAGAGGAAGAAGATGAACAGTAATTATAAGGCGTGTTTGGGTGTCAATATAATTTGTGTTTTTTTAAGAGGGGCAAATTAGACTTTTCAAATTTATAAGGACAATATTGTCCATATTTTTATATATCATGCCGCGTTAGAAACACGCGATCTAATGAAGAACAAATTTTGGCCGGCCGTTTGCCGGATTGGGTCAACTGTAACAAAATTGTATAGTTTAGGGGGTTATTTGCATTTTTGATAGTTCAGGGAGTTTATTGCAGATATGGCAATAGTTTAGGGGGTTTTTTTGCACTTTTCTCTAACAAAAATGTTGTTAAAATTTAAAATTATCATAAAAAAATGAAGGAAAAATAAAAACTATAGTTTGAGACTTTGCCAGTTTTAAACTCTTTTTCAAACCCCCTAACTCTATTAGAGTAATTTCAAACTAGTTGTGAAAAGTGAAAGTTAAAAAAATAATAATAAAAATAAAAATTGAAGTGGAGGAAAATATAATTTTCAAAGTCAATTTAATTAGCATGAAAAATTTGCAAGAAAATTATATTTTATAGTTACTATAAAAGAAACAACAATATTGTAGGTTCATAAATTTTTTTCTAAGAAATCAGAATTTTCTTGTATTATTTTGGAAGAAAATTTTATGAAAAAATTAGGTGATTATGGAAAGTAATGTTTGCTCAAATATTTTCTTCTCCTGCTAACCAAACTTTTAAAATATTTAGAAAATTTTCAATTCCTATATTATGTTGCTATTTAATCTAACCAAATGAAGCCATAGGGACCGAACTATCCCCGATGCGTGATTAAATTAAGAGTAAAGGGAGTTAAAATGAGATTTAGAAACTAAGCCAATATACCATTATATGTTTATATATTTATAGATATGTATGGGTGAATTCCATGGTTTTAAAAAGAAGTTAAATGATAAACATTATGAAATCTTTACTTTTTATTTTATTTTTTTACTTTATATAAAAATTACTTCTTCTTTATTTTCTATCTTATATAAAAATTATTTTCTCCATTCTATTGCACATATATTTTGCCATAGTTTTCCTACCTTAGTAATTGAACAACTCATGATAACACACGCTCCTAGCTCTCCCCTCCTCTTTCTTTCCCCTCTCTGCTAGGGTTTCCAACTGTCGCTTTTCCTATTTCCAGTCAGAAGTGTGGTTTTAACGGCGATTCTCACTCATCATCATCAAGTTTAAGCGATATAGAGATTCCATTTTTTTAGAGGGAGAGAAATGTAACGTGAGAGAAGTTGAACCGCGTCTCAACTTGCTCCTCGCTAAGTCTGGGTCCTCTGTTCATCAAAGTTTGGAGATGTCTCCAAGAAGGTGTGGCTTATTTAAAATGACTTCCATCTCTTCTCCAGTCCGTAGATCTTGTCGGTTGTCTGTCCGGATAGGCACATGTGAGCAGAGTCTTGTAAAATTGGGATTTTTGTTCCTTGGACGAATCGATAACCGATTTATGCCGATCTTTCCTTTTGATCCGAGTATTGTTCTACTCTCCTTTGTTTCCTGTTTTATTCTCATGTTTGTTCTGTGTTTTTTTGTTTTTAGTTGTCGATGCTTGCCTTCCTCCTTCTCTCTCTATCAGAGGGGTTCTTCTCTCTGGGTTCTTATGGCGGGCCGTTCCAATGATAGTTTTGTATCTAAACTAGTAGCCATAGCCTATGGATCGTGGTTGGGTGGTGAAGGAAATCTTAAATGGCCGACCACGTCTTTCTCGAATTGGGATTTCGTGTCCCAAACCTATCCTCGAGCCAGACATCTTTTAGAATTGTATCAGCAATTGTTGGGCAATTGTGAGAAGATGGTTGTAATCTTGAGGGCTCCACCAGTTGACCATTTTTTGACACATACCATCAGCTGTTTCCTTCTGAACTGAGGATTGTTGGCCTTGCCTGTGGTAAGTGGATGGATGATTTTGATGTTGATGCAGGCTATACCGAGGCTAGAGGCTTGCCAGTAAAATTTTAGTACCCTCTGATTCGGTTTCCGTCGTTCCGAAGACGTCCTCGAACTATGTGCTGCTCTGTTTCGTGTCATGGTACAATGTCAAAGTCAATGTTTTGGTCAGTCTTCCATGGAGTTGCCGTCACGCAACAAAAGGGTTGTAAGCTTCTAGAACCGGCTGTTCTAGTTGTGTGGATGGGGCTGCAATATGGCTTAATTATAAAAGGGTCCCAGGCTTAGGCCCAACTTTGCGGCATAGTAATCAAAATGAGCTAGATCTTCTTCATGTGGATGAGTTAATCCAAAGGAAAGCCCAGCTTATTCTGGACTGTATAATTAAAGATGATTATATTTTTGATTTGCTATGGGTTTTAGTATCTAGTTATTTTGATAAGCCCAAAAGGAGACTAATGCCGTCAAGTGGTGCTGCAACATGGCAGTTGTCATTATGCTGAGTTACCATAGTTCAGTGCTATGGGTGGCTGCTATGTTCTGTGTTTGTTGATTGGTTTCCTGAATCATCTCTTTGAGATGGATGATCTTATACTCATGTTGGATTGTAATGTTTGTTTGCCAGGTTTAAAAAAAAAAAAAAAAAAGAGCTCCTGATGACACAGAAAGTGTAGGGATGGCAATGGGGCGGAGTTTGGACGGGTTTGGTTAAACCTTACTTCGCCCTGTTAGAAAATCTGTCGTACCAACTCCGTCCATACTCCGGAATGGGTTTATAATTGTTATACCATCATCGCCTCTACTTAAGTAGACAAAGTACCGACTCCACCCCATGTACTCCGTTTAATTGCGGGGCGCATTGGGGACAGGTCGGGTTATACCACTTTTATTATGTAGTAAAATAAAACTAACCCAATGTGTTCAAATTGGGTTGATAAATAAGTTGACCCAACTTTTAAATTACTAAATAATAAATATTAATAGATTAACGGACACTTCCAGTAAAGTAACAAGAGTCTTAAAAATATTAAATATATATATAAGTAGTCTAATATATCGGATGTTATGTTGAACTCTCTAGGGTAAAGTGCAAATAACCCCCCTGATCTTTATTCTCTCTCCCAAAAAATCCCTTAAACTTCTATTTGTTTACAGAAAACCCCATAAACTATCTCTTTTTTTTTTTGCAAAAAACATCTGGCGTCACTGTTTCGTTTGCTTTGCTAGTTAAATAGGCATGTAACGTAGGTTGTAATTTGAAAATGACAATGTTATCCTTATTACATTAGAATATTAAAGGTAAAGTGCAAATAACTCCCCTGAACTATTTCCAAATTTGCAAATAACCCTCTGGAACTATATTTTGTACACAATGCCCTATGAATTATTGAATTATCATTTTTTTATTAAATGACCATAATGTCTTTTCTTATTGAATTACACTTAGTATATTTTTCTTCATAAAATAAATACGAAAAAAATTATACTATTTTAATGACATATTTCCCATCAAATGTGCATAAATTTACCATTAATTATTGAAATTAATTTTTTAAAAATCATTTAAAATTATACTATTTTAATTAACATCCGGCGTCACTGTTCCGTTTGCTTTTCCGGATAAATAGTCACGTGACTTAGGTTGTAATTTGAAAATGACAATGTTACCCTCATTACCATTAGAATATTAAGGGTAAGTGCAAATAACCCCCCTGAACTATGTCTAAATTTGCAAATAATCTCCTGGAACTATATTTTGTAAACAATGCCCCATGAATTATCTTTCTTATTGAATTACACTTAGTATATTTTTCTTCATAAAATAAATACGAAAAAAATTATACTATTTTAATGACATATTTCCCATCAAATAGCATAAATTTACCATTAATTATTGAAATTAATTTTTTTAAATAAAATTCTTAAATAGAAAAAAAAATTAAAAACTTTTTAAGTAATTTTTAAAAAATTTCATGAATATACAATATGAAAAGATATTTTTTAAAAGTATTTTTTCCCTGTAAAGATGTTTAAACTGAGTATAATAAATTTACTTCCAATAGTAAAGTTTTAATAATAAGTTAATTATTTTAGAAAATGGCTAAATTCAGTGAAAGTTAGAACATTGTATTTTATTTTATTTTATTTTTGTAATTTTTATTTTTGTTTATAAGAAAGGATAATAAAGATAATTTAATAAGAATGGGTAAAATTGTCTTTTGTAATGAGTATATCCTTAGTTACAACAAATCATTATATCTTTAGTTACAACAAATCATTAGTTCGTTTGTAGTTCAGGGAGAGTTTTTTGGCACAAGAACAATAGTTAGATGGTGGTGGAATTTTATTATTTTTATTTTATTTTATTTATTTATTTATTTATTTTTGCAATCAAACACCCTCATTCTATTAAAGGATAATTTTGTAATCTAACATCTCCAATAACCCAAAAAGGGAAGATTTTGAGTTTATCTTAAAATTGCACTTTTTAGATACTTGAGGCTGTGTGTTTTTTTTTTTTTTTTTTAAGTTGAGGGGGTTTATTGCGCCCTTTACCCAACTCTGTATAATTTACTCAATTAAATAAGAGTTAGTTGTCCACTTGTCACTTTGTAATGTAAACGGGGCGGGGCAATAGAGTCAACATATTATGAGTTTCATTTCACTAGTAGCAAGTAGCTACTACTTTACTAGTATTTCCGTAGTCGCTCCAACTCCATATTAAAGACCCCCACCATAGTCAGGTGCAACTCGCCACTACTTTACACAAATTACACAGAAACGAGAGATAGTGAACTCTCTGTTTCTCTCTCTATCCCAGCTTTCAATCTCATCCTTCTCTCTCTAGACTTCCACACACAGCATGTGGTCTTCTTCATCAGGCGCAAACAACATAAGTAGCAGCACCAAAGCAATCTCAACATCACCACTCTCAGCGAAGTCGTCCTCCGCATGGACCACCACCACCACATCTTCTTCATCAACCACTCCTTCACCTTCATCTCAAATATTCCCCCCACCACCATCCACCCCCACCACCACCAGAAAAAAGTCCATGGAGGAGGTCTGGGAAGACATCAATACCCACTCCTCCCTCCACCACCATCCCACCACCGCCTCCGCCGCCGCTTTCCAGGACTTCTTGACTCGCGCTTTCAACAAAGACCCACCAACCATGGATGACTACTTTCATCATCAGCCCTCCTCCGCCGGTGGCGGCGGCGCAAGGGGGCCGCCCCCTCGCCCGACCACCGTCTTGAGTTTGAATTCAGGGCTTGACTACCCTAAAAACACCACTGCCGATCATTTGAGGTCAAACCCACAAGTAGTAAACCATGGAATCCCCTCCTTTTGGCCTCCCTTACAATCTTTGGCCTCCTCAACTGCTGTGTTTTCTTCTTTAGCCAATAAAAGGCCTCCACAAAATGACCATGATTCCAGAGATCTCAAAGTCATGCGGTTGATCAAGAACAGAGACTCGGCCGCCCGGTCTAGAGCTAGAAAGCAGGAAAAATCTCTCTCTCTCTATATATATATATACACACATATATGTATATATAGATAGGATTAGAACAAATTTACAATATATTTTTATATTTATATATTTAATAAATTTAAGCATCGTGGATTTTAAAAAAAAAAAAACTACATTTAATTTATTTTAAAGTTAATTATTTGATATTTTCTAATGATTTAATTAAATTCTGTTTCTGTGATCAGACTGATCCTGACGTTGTCTAAGATATTTTACAGGCTTACATAAATGAGTTGGAGGAAGAAGTTGCACACCTAGTGGGTGAAAATGCCAAGCTCAGAAAACAACTGCTGAGGGAGAATTTATATAAAAAGGTAACATTCAAAGGGACCACTTCATTATTTTCCTTGCTTAATAGAAGCTTAATCTGTTTGTTTGTTATTATTAGTATTACCAAACATGGTATAAAATAGAATCAGTAGGTTACTCAAAAACTTTCTTAATAATACTACTATGAGGTTGAACTCATGGAAGTTGTCATGAGTTCTCTTTTTTATTTTTATATTTATTTTTTTATATTATGATTGCGTATAAGAAAGAGTAGTCATAAGGGGTCCACCAACAATAGACAAGTCTAAATAAATTTTATGTGAATAGTGGATGACATGATGGTCATAAAATTTAATAATGTTATCTCCTATTTACATAAATTATTATTCGAATACATTTGAAAGTCGAATTACTTTTCATTATTCTTGTGTGTAAATATTGAGGTGCGTATGTAACCGTTTAAAAAAAAAAATTATGTGAGAATAAGATTATCAAAATTTCATATCAAAATTCATTTAGAGTAAATCAAATCCGTACATCCACTTTCTTTTGAATTCATTTGATCAAATTAAACTATCATCTCTGATAATCACATAAAATTTTATTTTATGATATTTTGAATTTAATTTTTTTGTGAGAATGTTTTAATATTGGCAGTGTGATAGATATAATTTGTGCATTATTATTATTTCAAGATGTGTTAATTTAAAAGAGAGTTTAGTGAGATTGTTTTCATGGTAACAACACTCAATTTTTTAATATTTTTTGTGTTTATCAGTCCTGTTTGGCAGCTCCTTCTCAGCTTCCCAAAAAGCAGTCTCTCTCTAGATCCTTAACAGCTCCATTTTAAGAAGGAAGAATTTTGCCAGCTCTCTTTCTGTTTTTGCTCTATTTTTTCCTTCCATTTGTGTCCCTTGCTAGAGCCTACAAGGGTTGGAAAAGTCTCCAGAAAAAGAAAGGGTAAAAAGGCATTTTTCTCTTTTTACTGCAGTAACAATGACGTTGGTCATTGGTAAATATATTTGGTTGCCTTTTTGTATCTGTCTTTTGTCCTTTTGCGTCATTGTGCTTTTTCAGTGGCCATGAGGCGGGTGGTCCACGGTGGGAGAAATATTTAATTTTTTGTAAGTGTGTGAGGGCCCCACATTTTGGCCTATGTGAAGATGCGTGGTACAGAACAGATGGGACATGTTTGGCTATAAATATCAATATATGACCACCTCTCTCACTCTCCTTATTTAGTATATTTCTTGCTGTGACACTTTTTTTTAAAATTAAAATGCATTGTTACTGCGTAGAAAGCCATACTTTCCGGGAAAAAAAAAAACAGACGTAACAGTCATGTAACACACGCAAACACTCGTGTAACGCACTAATTCAAGAATAACCCACATTATATATTATGTAATATATTTTGATTGCGGATGGTAAATTTGGTGTTACAAAAGTTTCATTTAATGGGTTATTATTATATCTGTAAATGGATCGGATTTGCATTAAATTATTCAAATTCAAAAAACATTTTAGTCGGTTCGATCTGATATGATAATTCGACGGATTTTTTGTAAGTCAATCCGATTCTGATTTGTTAATAAATGAATATTTGATTCGATAAAAATGTAATTTTTTTATTAAAAAATAGAAAAAAAAATATAAATTAATGTCAAAAGAAAAAAAGAACAATGATTATAGAAAAAGATATAAAATAAAAACTAAGTAAAATATGAAATAAACAAATATATATATATATATATATATATATATTTACTCTTTGTTAATTAATAAAGAGTATGATATTATTAGTATGTATATTAGAAGATTTATTAGTATGTGGATGAAAACATTACACTATTGTACATATAATATTATGATTTTTTATTTTTATTTTTGGGTTTTTTGGGTTATCTCTAATACAAATCTGATATATATGTGTGTGTGTGTAAAATTATCGATAAATAATTATTTATATATATATATATATATAATTTTACTCGGATTAGGTCAACATAATTCATATCTGATTTGTTAGGCTAACGGATTATTGGATTTAAATCGTAATCGGGTTATCAGATTTTTTGTTCAATCCAGATCCGCCTGATCGGATCAAGATCTGCTCCACTGACAGGTCTAGTTATTATAGAAGGTGAGAGATGGATAGATGCATAGAATAACATAGGATTGAATTACTAAGGGCCCGTTTGGTAACATATTCTATTTAGCTCGGATTCGGATTAAAATCATATTCAGTAACATGTATAGGTTAAGGTTAGATGAAGTAGAAAATTGTTAATATATAGAATGGTGCATAATATAACTACGCAACTGAATGAATATAGTGACAAATAATTTATATATATATATATATATATTTAATAGTAGGTAATTAATATATATAATATTCATATATAGTATATTGTAATGTAATAATATATATATAATTTTAATCTCAAATTATCTATAATTCATATCCGATTTGTTAAGGTAACGAATTATCAAAAGTTTTCTCAATCCATATATGAATAATCAGATCCGATTCAGATCAAAATTCGATTCATTGACAAATCTAATCCTAACAGAGTTATATTTATTTATTTATCTTATATACAAAAAAAAAAAACTTAAATGTGATTTGTTTTAAAATAATCCATCCAACTTTATTAGATTTATAAATGGATGGAAGGCTTGCAATTCATGTTCTTTTGGTCATAATAGTGTTATGTTAACCTATGATTATTTTATTAAACAAAGTGAACTTAAACATTCCTTTAATACCACACTACTCGTTTATTTAACAAATAATATTTTGTAATTAGTGTACTTGTTTAATCAATATTAAATAAAAAATATATATTATAGATATAAATCCATTTTTGGAATCGTCTATGTAATTTGGACATGCCAAAGATAGACAATATTTTTTTGGATATTGTAAGTTGACGTCGTTTGGTCGCTCCTCTTGGGTCAGTAATGGGCCCAACGGCAGGGGAGGAAAATATGACCGACGCTTCACAGATAAACGGGTCTTTGACGTTTTCCGTTTGAGTTTGGGCCCACTACCACGTGATAGTTGGCCCACAAATTTTTAAAATTTAATCTTCTTTTCAAACCGAATCTGCATTGTCTGGTGTCTGAATATCTGATCGATGTACTAATTCTCAGAATTGGTAAATTTACTATTTATGGCAGGACTTTCTCGACAATAATCACCTACTTGACGATAGTCACGGGTCAACAACAACATGTAACATATGTAGTCCCAAAATTCTTAACCTACCAAAATACATGTTTCATTGAAAAAGGAGAAAAATGTGTACGCTAATTTCAAAGTACTTTTTATTTATTTATTTATTTAAGGATAAACTTAGTAATTCACTCTCATAAGTGCAATACAAAAATAATAAAAACTCACTATCATCAAAAGTTAAATTTTCTTAATTAAACACAAGGGTACTCATTTTGAAGAAGTATTTTTTGTCTTTTACTTAGGATAAATTTGGTAATTCACACACACACACACACATATATATATATATTACAAGACAAAAAGAATTAAAAATTAGATTAATAAATATATAGAGTCAACATTCCAAAATTTACTAGAAACACTAACCCATTGAGTTAATGAGACATTTGCTATCAATGCAATACAAAAATAATAAAAACTTACTATGATTAAAAGTTAAATTCTCCCCAAAAAAAAAAAAAAAAAACTCAACTATTTAGTCTATTTTGAAACAAAGAGAATATATATAATTATTAATTAAAATTTACTAAAAAACAATTAATAAATACTCATGCACATTTTACAAGTTTGACCACTTCAAGTCTTTTTTTTGGCAAGAAAACATTGAACTAATTATCCATGGGATCTGTATGAAATTAAAGTTCACTCTTTTAATTATTGAAGCTACTCCATCTCAATGTAATATATATATATAATTTTTTTTTGTAATACTACTAATTTATCCTTCTTTTATTAAATTTATAAAAAATAAACCATCACTCCCATTCACCGTGGACCAATATGAATAAATTTAGTAATTTATTCACTACTATTAATACAATAAAAAAGTAATAAAACTTATTTTCTTAAAAAGTTAATTTTGTTTTTTTTTTTTTTAAAATACTTATCTTGGAACATAGGAAGTATTTTACTTAGGCTTCTAAACTTAAATAGTTTAACTTCAAAGTTCAAATTAAGAAAATAATGATATATAAAAACAAACAAATATATATATGTATGTGTGTGTGTGAAGGTCCCAATCCCGTTGACGTATATGGCCACTTGTTCGCAAGCTAATTGATAATCTGATATAAGAGAGATATCACAACCTCCGTCTTAGAAAATTAACAAAATAATAATAATAATAATAATGTGACTATATGATTATTGATTTTCCTAAAAGAAATGTGTAGTAAGTAGTAAGTAACAATCAATTAACGCACGTTAACAATGATCATTACACGACATGACGACAACAAAAAGATTGGTGCTTAAAAAAGAAAAAAAAAGAAAAAAAAAAAGAAGGAAATTATTAAAAATAATTGACGGTAAAATGTGGTTAATAAATTTTTTTCTCATGAGTGGGTCGGTAATCACTTCTTACCTTGAGGGTAAGAGAAGTAGGTTGGAAAGCCGGTTAGACTAAATTTGTTCTACAAATAGGTATTGAGTAAGTCAGTTATATCATGTTATTAGTATGGTCATCCAATCAGAATACATTATATATTTTATTTTGATGAGCATAATAATAACGTGGTAGACTCCAGCTCACTCAAAATTTATTTTCTCGTGTTCCACAAGATTATGTTGAAGTTACTTATTTATTATTTTAATTTTTATTGTTGATCAAATTTTATAAAATGGTAAATTTGTCGTTCTTGTGTATCAGATGCAATATAATATAAGGACATTATTGAAATATTTTACTCGTGTAAATTATAATTTGTCCAAACTTTAAAAAAGATTAGTGTAATTAATTTTTTTTTTTTTTTAACTAATTGGTATGTGTTTAGACTTGGGAGACATGTATTATGTGCCACGGGGTCTATCTCGAAATATTCAATTTGGGAGACCAACTAATAATCTGAAATTAAAATCTAAAGAAATGATTCTCAAAAAGGTGTTTCGTGATTGGATCTCGAAATATTCAATTCAGGAGACCAACTAATAATATTCATTATGAGCAAAGCTTTGCTGCTTTTTTACCTAAAAAAAAAAAAGCTTTGCCGCTTGCTGAGGGTTTGGTACAATTCTTAAAAATATATATTTGCTGCTTGCTGGGGGTTTGGTACAATTCTTAAAAATATATATATATATATAGGGAATTGCAAAAAAATTACTCTTTATTAATATTCAGTTCGAAAAACTTTCCTTATGAATATTTTTGGCAAAAAAATTCCCTCAACTATTTCAAGGGGGTGTTTTTAACTAATATCCGTTTAAGTGGTTGTCTGATGAAATTTTTTTGGACGAAGTTACCACTTAAAGGATTATTCTTCGTACCTTAAATATGATTTTATTGACTGAACAATAATTTGTTAAGGGATAATTTCATCTAAAAAAATCTATCAAACAATTACTTAAACGGATAGTTGAGGGGAGTTTTTTTGTCAAAAATATTCATAAGAGGAGTTTTTCGCAATGGGTTAATAATCAAGGGGGATTATTTGCAATTCGCCCATATTTAACAAAAAAAAAAAAATTCAATTCTAAATTCAAGTGATGAATTCGGTGTTCTCCAACATAACATAAATTGTATTAGTGATTTACTGAAGCAGCACGAATAAGAAGGCATGTGGTGTCTATTTTGCAAACAAGCCCAACCCATGAAAAATGGCGGAGACCTTGGTAAATTTAGGTCCAGACTTTAATTGATTGGGCCGAATGAGTATTTAGGTCTATCTCCTTTTGGGGAACTCTTTGTTTTTTTTTGGTTCTCACAGATTTATCCCCACAAGGTCAGTTTTCTTATTGGATTTCTTAAAATCTCTGAACTGTCTTTTACTTTATCTCTCAACCATCCACTGATTAGAAATGTTTTGAGAGATTATTGTTCTGTTTGGTCGTTGAGAAAACTGAGTAGAAATGAAGGAAAATAAATGCTTGATCAATATGTTCTTTTTCTATTTCTGACCGAAATTGAAGACCTTGAATCTGCGTAGCTAAATCTATCGGTATTATTAAAGAGAGAGAGAGAGAGAGAAAAAAAAAAAAAAAAAAGTGAAGTGCATTCACCACCTCTCTACTGTGTGGAATTTGGATTTTATATTTTAGAGGTGTGTAGTTATGGTGTTTGTCAAAATGTCTCAATGATGAATGTTTATTCCTTGTCTGCAAAAGAACATAACTTGTGATACAGTGTGTGGTATTTCTGTATTACATGCATTTCTTACTATAAATAGCCAAGTAGGTGGATCTGTCCTTTATATTTGGAAAATTATTGGCTTTGAACTAGCCAAGCTGAGTCTTGCTCTGACTCTGCTCAAAAAATTAATGCTTTAAAAAATATGATCAAGCTGGCCTTTTCTCTTGAGCCTATCTTAAACAAGCATCTAAATAAGCCAATCTTGACTAGATTGTCTTTTTTGTGTATTCCTAGATTCTTAGTAGCTTATTGAATCAATTTGAGCCAATCTGGATACTAAAGTCGCAGTATGATGAGCTGGCTTGTTTATCTTACTAGCTTATCTCGAACATGCTTCTAATCATGTCAATCATGAACCAAACTTGAGTGGTTTGGTTCACTTTATAGCCCCAGTAATCATCAAGGACAGAAGTGTCTTCCTTTAATTAGTGTAACACGCTAGGACAGAAGTGTCTTCCTTTATCAGGTATGCTTTGGTTTCCCCTTCAATCGTATTCATTACCGATCTTTGGCATTCAATAACTCAGAAACATTACCACTGTTTGTGATTATTTTTGGCTTCTAAACCTTTCTGGTGACGTTTTTCATCTTAATGGTTGTGTTCCATAATATTACTTGTTACATCCTGTACTTGTTTTAGTCAAGTTCTAATAGGGAGAAAGTGGGTGCATGAATTTCAAGAAGGGAAAAAAAAAAAAAAAAAAGTTGAAGTTGTTCTTCTTTCTTAAGATGCAACTTATCTTTGGTCCTTTTTGTTCTTGTTTTTGGGGTGTGGAGGGTGAGGGAAAAAAATAGTTGGTTTCTCTTGTACTTCCTTTTCTTGGTTAACGGGCTTGGCTTAGATGTGGTTTGCCAATTATTACAAGGCAGATACTTAGGCTGAAATAAGTAGAGTGATAAGTGGAAATCATGAATGTGAACATGCTGAAAGATTGCTTCATCAGATGATGCATCTTAAATGATGCCTAATTTACGTGCTCACTGGAAAACACTCGGACTTTCAAGCAGCTCTCTATTGATAGAGCATGTTATCATTCTTTCTTTGTTTTCTTGTATTCTAAGTAATAAAACTTGACTTGCTAGTAAGTCTTAGAACACTTAATATTTCTTATGCAGAATATCGGAAGATGATGACCGGAAAATCAGTTAAGTCTGTAGCAAAAGCAGTTGGAGAGTACCAGTATCCATGGCAAGAGAAGTTGGCAAGGTACAAGGATGAGCTCTCTAAGGGTGTGTGGGGTTACTGGGAGCTTGGTGCATGGAAACGTCTTGGCATCAGTGCGCGCCATCGAGCCTGTCTCCGCAAAGTAGTTCTAGTTGCTGGAGAAGATTGGACATACGATCCAGAAAGGAAAGAGATGAAAACCAAAAGGAAAGGGCACAAGTGTGATAGGATAGTAGCACAGAATCGGGCTACTACTGCTGAATTAATGCAGAAAATGCCTCAAATGTTGGCAGATTACAGAAAGAGAAGGTGGGAGAAGAAGATGAATGAAGAGGATGCCAAGGCTGAAAAAAATTAGGTCCCATTTTACTCTTATCCTTTGCAAACCAATTTTCCGTGAACAAATTTGCTTGGTTGATGATGTTGATGATCATGTCAACTCTTGTCCTTTTCAAACCAATTTTCCGTGAATAAATTTGCTTGGTTGATGATGTTGCTGATCATGTAAAGCGTTTTTATAAGATGGTTCTGTTCTTATTTTCTCTTCCTTTTGTAGTAAACAGTTAACATGCTGAATTGTTCTTTTGATAGACCTTGCAATATATGTGACAGGTTTTTGGCTTAAGTGTCTGGTTCCGGTCTTTTTCTTTTCAAATTCTTGCTGCTATGCTTAAGTGTTTTTAGCTGGTGTGCAACTTTAATTTCTGAATTCCTTATAATCACAATGCAAATGAAATTAATAAAATGCAGGAGGAAGAAAATTTTCCGGTGCTTCTGGTTCTTCTTTGGATGGTTGGTACGGTCTTTTTCACAGCCAATGTGAGTGAGACGGCTCTCGGCTGTCTCGGCTGTCACAAGGTAGGTAAACAACACAAGCACTTACACAATGCCCCTCACGGGGTCGAATCCTCACCTCTCTTCATGCACTTAAACAATGCCCCTCACGGGCTTCGAACCCTCACCTCTTCTCTGGGAAGAGAGGTAATACAGCCCGGGTCGAGCCCAGTGGTGTCATTGAAATGAGATTACTTGTGCATACATGCATTAAATGAGTCTATACATAATCAGTGATTTAGGTTTCTTTCAACACTAATCACAGCCCGAATTTCCTTTTGTGAAGAATTGTAATGGAAGGATGTTGTTATTCCTCCTATCACATTGCAGGACCTCCATTACGAGGCAAAGGCATTCACTGCGGACTGGAGATCTCAAAGGGCTGAATGGGAATTCTAGTTCAATCCTCCCTCTCCTTAATCTGCTGTAAAAATAAAAATAACAATAAAATCTTAACATGTTAAGTTCTTAAGTTGTGTTCCAACTGTTAGGAATTATGTCTCAAATTCCCATTATTATTAGTTTCTATTTTAGAGTGTAATTTTATGGTAACTTCTTATAGAGACGTGAATTGGGCTCTAAGAAATTGTAATTCTTTGTCCACAAAGGAATTGGGTATGTGACTCTATAAATAGACACTTAGGCTATTGTTGAGAGTTCTGAGTTGAGAGAGATGTAGCCTCATGAGGGAGTATGTTGATGGTAGGGGTGAGTTACGGGTTTGGTAGAGTGAACACTGATAGTGAGACGGAATCTCGTGGCGTACACGAAAAACTCGGTCAAGAGTTTGTGTGCATGGTCCAGTGTTGAAATTCTCTATTATTGTAATATCTTTACATATATAGTAAATTTCTTCTCATCCGTGGATGTAACCCTGATTTTGAGTGAATCACGTATATATCTTCTGTAACCCTAATTTTGGGACGCAATCAGATGATGTAACCCTGATTTTGGGTGAACCACGTTCTCTTCTTCCAAAATAGAGAAGGTCGAGAATTTAAGTGTAGCTAGAAAAGAACATCTGAGTGTACGAGTTACATGCCAGCAAAACAAAAAAAAAAAAAAAAAAAAAGGGATTTATTGATGCATAGCAGATGTTTGTTGAGTTGGGTGTAAATTCTTTAATTACTAGAAGAAATTGAAAATTACATTTGTCATAAAATCTTTTTTGAGACACTCAAAAGGGCCATCACAATAAATTTCTGACCATGTAATTTCATTTTATCACATGAACCATGGGGGTTGAAAAGAGATTTATTGGATTTGGAATTTTCTTAAAGTGTTTATTTGATCTGTGTACTTAAATTTCTATGAAAATATTGGATGGTTAAAATGCAAGTTCATTGATTAAAGGATCCCACCTTTTGAAATTAAATTGAAGTTGGCCAGATGCTCTTTCACTTGATAAAATTTATGTGCTGTGATAAGGTGAAATGAGTCCTCAATAATTCACGTAGAGTATGAGTGTAATTGTGTAACTTAGGCAGGTCAACCCGAAGTCAATCTGAGCCCAGCCCATTTTTTCACGGACTTGGGCAACTATTTTTATAACTAAGGTTGCGTCCTGTTGAAATTAAATTGAAGTTGGCCAGATGCTCTTTCACTCAATAAAATTTATGTGTGATAAGGTGAAATGAGTCCTCAATAAATTTTTGTGGTTACATCTTAAGAAAAACTTCATCGGTATGATAGTCTTTCGGTTTATAATCCATTTCGTGTTAACTTAGGTAGGTTAACCCGAAGTCAATATGAGCTAAGTCCATTCTTTCACGGATTTGGGTAATTATTTTTACAAATAAGGTTGAATCTACGTTGAAAAATATTAATCCGAACTTAATTAGCATTAGGCTTAAGTTGAAGTGTCATTAACTCAAGCTCAGCCCGAATCTGAATTCTAATTTTATTTAAATATATTATATATAATATTTAAACTATGATCATATTTTTCTTTTTAACTTTCTTTATTTAAATCTTAATTTATTATATGTTAACTCTTTGAATAATTAATTTTTAAGAATTTATTTGTTTTTAAAAAAATTTATGCTTAGGATTAATCTAATATGAAACTAACTCAAAATACACATATTAAATTTTGAGTGTGGAGATTCGTCATGTGGGCACTAGGCAACCTGAATTAACCTCATTTTTTAACCCAAAATCTTATTATGAGTTGAAAATACCATTCTAAAAATTAAGAATAAACTGAACTTGGGTTAAATAGTTAAAGTTAAAAATCGACTTTGAGTTAAATATAATTGAACATTTCATGTGATGGGTACAATTTGAGTTGTACTTCGAATAGGTCGGAGTTGGAGCCTACTTCGAGCATATTTCAATTTTAGACCGTAATAATAATAATAATAAATTCCAAATTTGTAGAAGAGCAAAAGTGGAAGCCAATATCCATGGGCCCTACTGCCACCATAGAAGCAAACGCAGCCGCCCACTATGATTGATTGATGGATCACCCACGGAAGGGGAAGATTGAGAATTTGGAGATTGGTGGTTCATTTACATAATAGGGTTCCCAATACCTCCCAACACCAATCCTTGGTTGTTGCCCCATTTGATGACTTTGGTTTCTGGTGTCAAATGAATTAAAATGATTAAATGTAGTGAGCGTGCACTAAGGAGGAGAGTGATTTCCACATGTCATTACTTTTGAGATCCCGTTCTCTCTCTCTCTCTCACACACACACACACAAAAGTGTGTGATGATCGTTGAAGCATCATGCCCAAATGGCCTCCATAGTGTTTGTCAAAAAGATCTAATTCCCCCAGTATAGAGTGGGTCCCAATCATTTCAATGCACCACCACATGGTGAAGAGTACTCTCCATTACAATACCCACCAAAAAACAGATACACTATAGCCCTCTGATGCAGACTTCAAACCCGAAATCTCTACCCCACAATTGATCACCATTGTGTTCACCGACATCAGTTGACCATTCAATTCTACTAATCAAATGGCCAGGAAAAGGCCACTTCACTTCCAAATTCACGTTCCCATTTATGAAAACTATCATCCCATCAAAATGACGTGGGTAGTTAGTTGCTAAATCTGTTGCCTTAATTTATGGACAGATGTTGACTCCGATAATAATAAAAAAAAGGGTGGATTGAACATAATAAGCCTAATTTTTAAGTATGTGTCCAATCAAAGAAAATTTAGTATAAAATTTAAAATAAAATTTTTTTAATTTCAAATACAAAGTATTGATTCGATATTCCAATACATAAAATTAGGGTAATTGCAAATAAAACTCTAATATTATAAAGAATTTTATAAATTGTACTCCACCATTACAATTTGCCCTCTGGAGGAAGGAATTTTGCAACATTTTTAATAGTTAAGAGGGCATTTTGCATTTTAGGAGGTAACTTGTAAAATTTGTGTAGTACAAGGAGTTTTTAGCAAATGACCTAACTCTTTTTAGGGTAAAATTTTCTCATATTTCATACAAAACTCAATCTTAGATCTATAATTCTACTTACCTCTTGATGTTGTGGTTTATGTGATTCCCATCATAAAATGAATAAAAAGTCAATTTTACCCTCCTTATATTTGCAAAACATGCTACGGTTATCAAGATGGACCTCTCGTCCCTAAAAGGGAAGATAAAATAAAATGAAATCAAGAAGGGTTTATGGAGGATATTGACAAACTTCAATAATTGGAATTTACCTTTTTTTTTTTTTTTTTTTTTTTAACTTTTTATTGTCCAAATATTTTTACGGATATACCCAATAGTACATTGATGATTTTAAGTTTGGCTTCCGAGTGGTTGATTCTTCGTTACCTTAAAATACATGTGTGTGTATATATATATATACACACATATAGTTTATGGATGTTGACAAAGATAGATATTAGATTTACATATATATACATCACTAGCGCCTCCACCACCGCCGCCTCCACCACCGTTCCAAACCCGTCTCTTGATGGTATTAGATGATTAACCAATTGCGCACTTTGGATAATCCTCACTAGTACCGTGCAGTGCGCATACGCAGAACCCACCCACATTAACCAAGCCAAGATAACTTCACTTCTTTCACCACCAAATCAATCTTATTATTAATTGCCATAATACCATTTTAATGTTGTAGACTTATACTACTCTCTCTCTCTCTCTATATATATATATATATATATATATGAAGGACAAGGCAGATGAGCAGTGAGCTAGATCTCTCTCTGTATTCAATATAACCACCACTGTAGCATATACTGCAACTGTACTTTAGTACTCACAAGAAACATGAAAAGCCTTTCTATTTCCTTCTTTTGCTTCATCTCTCTCTTCCTTCACTACTCATTTGCTCAATCGCATACCGACCGCGTTTATATCGTCTACATGGGAGCTGCAGCTTCATCGAGGATCGACGACCATGCCGAGCTTCTGGGCTCTTTGTTAAGAAGGTTAATATAAATACATATATACACACATATATATATATGTATACTGTGTTTGTGTGTGTGACATAGAGAGCACAGTGCCATAAGCATTATAACAAATTAAGCATGATTCATGAAAGCAAACAACTTTTTTGTCATGCTATCATTTTGCCTGCTGGTTCCATTATATTGCGCGTGTCCAAATTCCATTATGTTGGTTGAATTCTTCAGAAAAGTAACAGTACTCCCAACACCTAACTCTATTCATTGTATTCTATCTTTTAATATGTATTACTAGTCTTCACATGCATTTGCATATGCAATTTTTGATCTAACATGCATTTAATTAATGATTATATTATCTAAACAATTGGTTCAGGAAAAAAAATTCAGTAGTACACAGCTACAAACAAAGTTTCTTAGGATTCGCGGCTCGTTTGACCGAGGAGGAGGCACATTCAATGGCCAAGTCATCGGGAGTTGTATCAGTGTTTCCTGATCCTGTCTTGCAACTCCACACAACACGTTCATGGGATTTTTTGAAATATCAAACTTCTGTAGAAATCGACTCCGGCCCGAGTCCAGATTCTGTCTCCTTGTCACAAGGAAAAGACACTATAATTGGCATTGTGGATACAGGTAAACCTCAGACTATACTAATACTTTCAAGTTATATATATATATATATATATATATATATATATATTATTAATAATGATAAGGAGTCAGACGGTAGGATATATCTGTCTATTTTAATATAAGTAAAAGTTAATGTCATCATGACTATTAATGACATCATGATGATGTCAGTCTTCACTCACATAAATCAGTCGAACTTCTGAGTTCTAGAACTCTTAATCATTATCATATACATATTGCAATATCGCATGCTTATATATATATATATATATATTGAATATGGAATTCAGGTATATGGCCGGAATCCGCGAGTTTTAGTGACAAGGATATGGGACCAATTCCGCCACAGTGGAAGGGGGTTTGCATGGAAGGGAAAGGGTTCACCACTTCCAACTGTAACAGGTAGTTAGAAACTACCACTATGCTTGTCATCATAAGAGATTATTACATTGTTTCGGACTAATTAACCCTTGACACATTTGCTGAGGTGTCAAATGTTACTTAACATGTTTGGTATTATATAATATTTTCTCCAATGTCATATAATGCAAGTTATTTTTTGTGGGCGAAACACCCAGCCCAGGTATTCTTTGGGCTGGATTACTTCTTGGGCTTATAAGACCTTTCCAAATGGGCCTCAAAAACTAAATTGAGCAACAACCAAAAATAATTAAAAAATTCGTTTGTTCTGACGGTTAAACTGAATGAAAACATAGAACAATCTTTATACTCCTTTGATTTTGATTTCTTTTTCATAGTTGTTAAAGAACTGAGCTCAACATGTCCATATTTTTATTTTATTTACTGTATTTGATTTTGAACGTTGAACGGCATCAGAAAATTGATTGGGGCAAGATATTATAATGACCCGGACTCACAATCATTGGAAGAACACACGCCTAGGGACCAAATTGGCCATGGCACTCATGTGGCATCAACGGCAGCCGGGAGCCCGGTTTCCGGTGCATCGTACTACGGCCTAGCCGAAGGGACTGCCAAGGGTGGGTCTCCGGGGTCGAGGATCGCAGTCTATCGTGTATGTTCGCCTAGCGGATGCCGTGGAGCGGCTATCCTAGCAGCATTTGATGATGCCATTCAAGATGGGGTGGATGTAATATCAGTCTCACTTGGCTCAGCAGGGGGGTTGGAGCCCGATTTCAATACCGATCCGATCGCCATCGGATCGTTCCACGCGGTGGAGAGAGGGATCACGGTGGTCTGCTCTGCAGGGAATGAAGGCCCTGACCCTGAATCCGTTGTCAATGTAGCTCCCTGGATCTTTACTATTGCTGCCACCACCATTGACCGTGATTTTGAGTCAGATGTTGTGTTGGGTGGAAACAAAGTGATTAAGGTAAATAATTCATACATTACACTACGAGTGTTGTAGTTCATCGAATGAGCGCGCACACGTGTGTGCACGCTATGAGCCATTCGATACAGTACAATAGGGCAACTAATATATACACAAGTATTATGTCGTCCTCCTAAACCTCGTAATCATGAAAAATAGTCTAATATTCCTGAAATATGGATGATATGAAGTGGTATGATTACTTATATGACAAGATGCTTGATTGGGTATTTTTATTTGAACACAGGGAGGAGGCATACAATTTTCCAACATCGGAAATTCTCCTGTGTACCCATTGATCAATGGCACCTCTGTGAAAGCTAAAGGCAATGACGACGAAGATGCAAGGTATATTGAACCACAGAACTAGTAAACAACAAATTTTAAACCCTCCCAGGTACCTCCCATGGTGACATAAGTGTAACTAATACAATGTTGCCGAGTTTTCAGTCACTGCTACCCGGAGTCACTAGACCAAAACCAAGTGAAGGGAAATATTCTTGTTTGTGAGAATGATGACGGAATGTATTCAGACAAAGAGAAGCTAGCGGGAGTGATCGAGAAGGGTGGGATCGGATTGATTTTGATTGATGATGTTGCAAGAGCAGTGTCTTCTTTTTACGGAGCTGATCCAATTTCTGTAATCACTTCAAAGGATGCCTCGGAAATTGTCTCCTATGCCAGTTCAACCAGGTAATGCTAATCCAGGAATATCTTGAGAAATTTTACAATTCAAGTTTAAAAGCAATTTAGTGCTCACTCTGTTTTGGAAACTTATGAAGCAATCCAGTGGCAACAATACTCCCAACAGTATCAGTGACAAAGTATAAGCCAGCCCCTAGAGTGATCTTCTTCTCATCCAGAGGCCCTTCATACGGCACAAAGAACGTTCTCAAGGCAAATTTTCTGTGTCCCTCTCTCTTTAAGTTGTGTTTTTATATGAAACATTGCGAAAAACTTCAACTGAAATAGATGCAATCTTAGCTGATTCCATGGTACTCTTGGTGCAAGGAAGATTTTCTCGGGTTATTGACGAATGCTTGTTGTTTGACATCGTTGCAGCCTGATGTAGCAGCACCAGGAGTGGACATTCTTGCAGCATGGCTTGGGAATGACACGGCAGGGAGTCTGCCGGGGAAGCAGCCCTCCCTTTTCAATGTGCTTTCAGGGACTTCCATGGCGTGCCCACATGTGTCCGGAATTGCTGCCACTGTCAAATCCCAGTACCCTAACTGGAGTCCCTCTGCAATCAGATCAGCCATCATGACAACAGGTTAGGATATCTACCAGCAAATTCCGAGTATTCTTGAATCTAGCTAGACTTGTTACCAACCCACCATTAATGTCTTCCATTGTGGATTCATGAACAGCAATACAAACGAACAATTTGAAAGATCCAATAATGACAGATTCAGGATCGGTAGCCACACCTTACGATTATGGTGCAGGGGAAGTAAGCACGTCAGGACCATTACAGCCAGGACTAGTATACGAGACGAACAATGTTGACTACTTGCAATTTCTCTGTAACTTTGGGTATGATTTGGCCACCATAAAAGCCGTCTCCAAAGATATTCCGGTGGGGTTCGCCTGCCCCAACAACCCTAGTCGTGATCTAATCTCGGACATGAATTACCCCTCAATAGCCATAGCCAACTTCAAAGCGAGCAAGAAAATCACCAGGACTGTTACAAATGTAGGGGATGTGGCTGAAACACTTTACATTGCAACCGTGGATGCACCTCGTGGTTTGGATGTCAAAGTGACACCTGATAAATTGCAATTCACAGAGAATATGAAGAAGCTGAGCTATGAAGTAGCATTCTCTTCCACTGCTGCAACTCCGACAGAGGGAGATGTCTTCGGTTCGATTACATGGACAAACGAACACTACAAAGTCCGGAGTCCATTTGTTGTAAGCAGTGACTGAACACAACAAACACAATCTTTAGTAGCGTTCCTGGATTATACCATCGGTACTGTGAATTCACAGAAGAATAATCTATAGTATACTCTGTCGAGCTTATTAAGCTTGGTAGGTACCACAAAAGGAAAGGTGTCACCGTGTCTAATAATTCTTGAAGTGAAGCAAGTTAAATGCTAACATCATACAAGAACAAAGAGTGCGATAAAAATATGTATAGTTTCTTAGGGGCATGTATTTTTGGGTTTTTATATAATTTTTTTTTTGGTCAAAAATTATAGGCCATGAGGGGCCAATTTGCTACACATCTTCAAATTACATGAATTTATATGCATGTTTTAAAAATCGAGGCTCTTTCTTGCTAATTTTTTATATTGCCGTTTTGTTTTTTTTCTTTTTTTCTCTATACTTTACTCTATAACCAATAGTAGGGGGTTAGCCCACGCTAAACCCAAGGTTCTAACACCTTAATCTGCGCCAAGCCCAAGTTCCGAAAAACCCACTGTATCTCAACCCGTGTCATACTACACGGATTTTTCGGGTCGTCTCAAATTTTAATAACCTATAAATAAATATACATGCAAAAAACCTAGAAAAATCAGTTTTGAATTTTAAATATTCTAATTACGTCTCAAATTTTAATAACCTATAAATAAATATACATGCAAAAAACCTAGAAAAATCAGTTTTGAATTTTAAATATTCTAATTATAGTCAGATTATTTATCTACAGGTGGTTGTAAAAAACCAAGTATATAAAATTGAGAACCAAGGCTTGTAATTTGATAAGAGTGAAAGAAGCTTCTAACCAATTAACAATTTCTTCATGGTATCAAAGCATTGATCCTACCTACAACTCTTTGCTTGGTGGGTATCTTTTGCTCTTCATCAGTAGTAGCTTTTGCTACTTTTTAGCAATTAACCAGAGCATTGCCAAAAGATAGTTCGAAAAATGGCTCAAAACATTTCCAGTTCGTCAATTCGTAATTATGTTTCAATCAAGTTAACCACGCAGATTTGGTCCCTAATTGAACGAGAAGATTTAGATGGAACAGATGTATCACTGAACCAACAGAAGAATTTATTACTAGCGATGGCAAGAATGAGTTGATCAATCCTAGCTTTGTGAAATGGAGAAAGTCGGATCGTGTATGTTAAAAACATGGTTAACTGGAAAAAGCATCAGCATCGCTGGACCACAATGGAATACTAGGATGCCTAGCCATGCCAACAAGCAAAAGACACAATATCACATGATGTCCTGTTTATCCCATATATTTTGAACATCATCAACCATTCCACCCACATCAACCAAATTGAAAAGCACAAGCATAAAACACCAACGGAAGGAATAGCATAATATACCATATTAGATAGAGGAGCACTAGACCCCAGGTTCTTTTACCAACAGTTTTCAAGTTACTAGCTACATAGTTATTGTTCATAAAAGATGTGATGGAAATAACCACATCTTCAGCAATCCAAACTACCACAGAAAGCTAAAGCCGCCATTGAGATATCATCTTTCACTCAAAGGCCCACTGGTTCTCCCTACGAACCTCCTCCTCCTCCTCCGGAGTGAAGTCATTCTTGATGTTGAACGTCTTGCGGATTTCCTCCGGAGTCTTTCCCTTGATCATGTCTGCAACAGTCTGGCATGTCAGATCCAACAAGCTCTTGATGTTCAGATAGTTCGCAGCCTAGAAATCAAACACCAAGTACAAGTAACTAACTATACCTTGTGACAGCATAAATTCATGAAAGAGACAGAACAAAAGCAGTGACAGCATAGGGTGAGACATGAAATATAGCATACGCATCTTGTAGGAGGGCAAAATTCAAAATTGTGTTCATTAGGCTAATACACTTTCCTCAAACAGTTTAATATCATCCTCACTATGCCATCTAATTACCTTCTCAAAACAGATGCTAAAAGATCAACAATAGCTAAAATCTTCAACTGAGAACAATATAGAAAATCTGTTACTAAGGAGAAACCCATACTCCAATGAGCATAGCAGAAGGCTGAGCAAATTTTACAGAAAACAAATCACAAGAAAAAACCAAGGGCAGCCACTTCATAAATAAGAGGACATGTTACAGCACAGTTTGTGAAAAATGGATCCTGCAAAAGAAATGCTCAATTAAAAAAAATAAAAAATAAAAAATAAAAAAAAACGATGCCCCATCCTCCCCCAAAAAAAAAAAATAGCAATAATACGTGATACATCCAATTATTGGAACCTATTGTTCACCAATACAAGGCCAATGCAAAAGAAAAAACCACATTTCTTGCATTTAAAAGAAATGCAACGCTAAACGTATCTGGCCCAACTAAATTATTCACTGCCAAAACTATTTAGAAACTATACATGAGTAACCTTGCCTACATGTGTCCTTGCTTAGTGACGCTATATATTTTCTATGGCCTCACTTCCAAGGCAGGAGAAGGTGTTCAATACAAGGGGAAACCAAAGAGCATACCACCACCCAAAAGAAAGAAACATAAATGACCCAGATGATAACCCCACCAATATTCATCAAGCATGCTCAGTTTTTCTAATTAGGGCTTATTTCAATTTGCACCATCTAATTATTAGGAAACAAGTAGAACAAAATGTGCGATATTTTGAAGTTCAGGAAACAGGATTAAAGAATAATCAAACTTTATAAGCAGGATTAAATGCATTTTACCCTTATGTTGAGTCTAGCATTGGTTTCGTTGCCCTGCTCTTTTGATGATGATATTGAGAGTATTTTTTTTTTTTGGTGGGGGGGGGGGGGGGGGGGGGGGACTTATTTTCCTCTCACGGGAATAAGTGAACCAAACAACCGACTACTACACTACAAATTAGAAAATCAAACCTAAGTGCAATCCTAATCTAATGTCAGACGTATGATTAATTTACTAAGGATAGATCAGCCCAGTGTTATTTATATTAGTTGGCAGTATCACGTATCTCTTTTATTGAACAGAGCTAATCCAGCCTAATCCTACCAGGCAAGCGAATACTTCCTAATCATAGATATAATAATGCAGATGACAATGTAAATGACAAAGTAAAAATGACACTGTGCCAACAATGTATAGCAGAAATGGTTCATGTTGGTGGTAGTGTTGCATTAATGCTAATGGAGATAGTAAGGATGACAGGTGTAGCAACCAAAATGCTCAGAATTTACAAAATTTAGATCAACAATATGAAGTGCATTAATCAACATTGAGCACTATAAAGCAGAGTAATTATTCAATGATGCAAAGAGTAAAGCAACTTCCTAACAGGATTGGTGGAAGAGTTTGCTTGAGTGGACAGTGACAGTGCAGTCATGAGAGAAATATTTGACAACGCAAAAAATAAAATAAAATAAAAAATTCAAGGAATCAATAGTCACCTATATTTCAACTAAGAGTGGGGCTTTGAGAGTATAATAAAGATAAAAAAAAAAAAAAATGAGCTACACCCATTCAATATGCTACAACATTAATGATCAAATTTATCATTTACCGACACTAAGACATTAGTGAGAAAAGTACTGGAATAATCATTAAAGAAATCTAGATAACTGACTGAGACACTAGAACATTTGAAATAATAATAAATAAATAAAAAATACTCATTATCCACAATATGTCCCTAGTGGAACTCAAACTCTCAACCTCCATTCTTTGGGGAGGAGAAATCATACCATTGGACTAGAGGCCCTACGGCAAAAAATCAAAAAAGTCAAAACTTGGATTTCAGACATAATTCAAACAATAATCTGTAAAGTATATAACAACCATTCATATCTGAAGTAGTACAAGAAGAAATCTAATACCAAATCAAAAATATATTCCTTCCCAAAGTTGTGAATAGTAAAACTAAATCACAGACTGATGGATTTGCAAAGCATGTAGATGTCAACATATTCCCATGTTTCGCAGGATCGCCCGATACCAAGAAGTATTGCCCAATGTAGATACAAATTACGTCAATTCGAATACAACTAATGAATTGTGATACTGACCAATAAACTGATACAAGTTGAGTGCGCCATCTCGCTGTCTGTGAGGCGAATCACAATATATAACTTTACACATGTGAAACAATAAAATAATGATAACATCCATTTCAAAATTAGAGATGTTGGGATTTTAAAAGAACAAATTAAATAATAGAAGACTTTGATTGAATGAAGATAGGGCGCTACATATGAGATATGGCATGACACATTATGGATGCGAATAATGATATAGGTACCGACTGAATATATGAGTATGCATATGTATAAATGTAAAAGAATAATGATCTTTCATCATAACAACAACAAAAGCCTTTAGATTTTTGTTTGCAGAGAGATCTTTCCAATCAACCCTAGGAATATACCAAAATTAGGGGAGGGAGATCACTCAGTGGGCCTTCAAATAATTCAACTCGTATAACTTTAACTTTTGGTTTTTAAACCAAAACACGCAGTACACCAAAAGTTCCCTTAATTTTCTCCTCGGTTGAACAGCGCATTGAATAAACCCTCACTAGGTCAAACAGTGTTCGTCGTGCAATCAAATAAACGTTATAAAGGGCAAAATCATTATCACACTTAAAAAAAACCAACCCTAATACGCAATAAATATAATAGTAATAATAATAATAAAAGAAACACCATTAAACCATCAAGAACAAAAAAACCTAAATCAGAAATTACTTCAACCATACAGAACCAAATCAACAGAAAATGAAAGAAGCAGTCGTTATATACGCATGTAAATCTATATAATGAGAAGGAAATTAGGGTTTGGAAACTCCACCAGAATGAGATCGAAGAGAGTCGCCTGATCAACTTTGACGAACTCAGCCTCGAAAGTCTTGAGGTCATCATCAACAGCACCGTTGGCACGATCCTCAGTCTTGGGAGCCTCCACATGCTTCCTGCAGTACTCGATGACCTTGGCCAAGATCTTACTGGTGACGTTCGGCAGTGGGATTCCGTTGTCGGCACAATCGTCCTCGATCATGTGCTTGATGGTCTGCGACTCGAGAGCCACCGCCTGGTCGACCTCGAAGGTCTCGCCATCAGAGCTCTTCAGAGTGATCTTCTTCGACGACGACATGACCGGATCGATGGATTGATTGGAAAAACCTAACCCTAGGTCTGAGAGCAAGAGAGAGCGAAAGAGAGATTTGAGCAAATGGAAGAGCGAGAGGCTTTTAACACGCGTTCGAGATATGTAACAGCTGCTGGCACGCTTTGGAGATATATATAAAAGCTGTAACACGCGTTTGGGTCCTTATAAAGCAAATGGACGTATTACCGGAAATCCGCAAATCTACTCTCTCCTTACCTTTTAATGACCAAGTAAATAATAATAATAATAATAATAATAATAATAATAATTTAAACTACTTATTTTATATTAAAAATATTTTTGATATTTTCCTAAGGTTGTCAATATTTCATCCATATACTCCCTTTTATAATTCTGCGTACAGGATTGCATGATTTTCGCAAATGTCACAGGTCTAAATTTTTATATTTTAATTTTTGTGTGTAATTTTTTTATAATACTAAACATGTATTCTCTCAAAATTGTAAATAAATACGGAGTAAAAAATAAAAGAAATGAAAAATTACTTTTTTGGTCTTAATTTCCTATGGCTTGTGTGTTTATGGTTTGTAATTTTTTTTTTTTTTTTCCCTTTCCTAAACTAGATTTAAAATAATTTGTGCTTTGTAAGTTTGTTCTCTCTCTCTATATATATAAGATTATATATATATATAACATATTTGAATATTTGATTTCCCAAATCAAACCCTTAAAAAAGATTGACTAATTTTTTATAATCAGAGTGTTATGTTCTTAAAAGAGAGTTTCTCCGTAATAAAAGCCATAAACTCTTCACATTTATAAATTTAATGTTTAGTGATAAAATTATAATAAGAAATAAAAAACTTGACGCAGAATGAACTGGATTAATTGTTCGAGAGCAGTTTAGACTCACTGTTTTTAAAGTTTGATTTTGAGTCATTTGACTTTATTCGCTACAAAAATGAGCCAAACTATAACTTTTTTTCAAAACACCTCAACAAACAAATTGTATCTTTCTTAGTTTTAGGTTATACAAGCTTTTTTCTATAGATTGTTTGCATGTTGTCGTTTTCTCATGTCACCTCTCAAGACTTATTTGAAGATATTAGATAACCATCAAATGTCACATGAGAAAACATTGTTTCTATAAATTGTTTAGTAATTAAACATGATCAAATTCAACTCAACTCGTGTTGAGCCCAATTTTTATAAAATAATAATAAGTGGAGCCCAAACTCAATTTTGGCACTCGTCTTAATCTTGGGTTGAGCCCAAGTAATCTAAAACTCAACTGACTTAGGCCCTGTTTGGGGTATGTTCCATCTTGTTCTATGCCCTTCCCGACAGTGCAAATGGGCACTATTGAGGACACCAATTTGTTTGGTATGGGCTGTATTGTGTCCAACAGTGCTAGAACAAATTCAGTTTTTGGGCCAATTTTCGGAACAAAAAAATCATGTTCCAAAGTGTTCTCAAATTGTGCAAGGCCCACTTTTCACTGTAGAATGGAGAACAACAGCCCAAACACTTGGAACACTGAGAACACAATTTATAAGAATCGGTCCATCTTGTTCTAGGGTTCTCTCTACTACTGAGGCGATTCCCAGTGTACCCTTGGGAGGTACTGAAGCTTTCCAAACGGGGCCTAACTTTCTGATCCTGCAAACAAGTTAAAACTGACATGATTTTTACATGGTGAAAAAAAAATAATAAAATGTTCATTTGCAGCCCAGCAATTAATAATTTTTTTTTTTAAGGAAGTGTCCCACTTGAGTAAAGGGGAAGAAAAGAAATAATAAAATTATTTTAAAGCAACCTAATGTTGATAACAGCATAAAAGACTAGGTATATACTTAGTTTGTAACTATAGAAATAGTTTTCTGTTCTCAGAAAATTGTACAAAAATTCTTTTTGGTTCTATTTTCTGAAAATTCAGTTATAAAAATACTTGTTCTCAAATAACATTTTTTATTTTATTTTATAGAAACTGTTATCTGTTTTCTGAGTACTGTTTTTAGATTTACAAACTAAGCGGGGCTAAATTTTTGTATCTTGTTACCCTATATTTTAGTATACACATTCAAATAATTTATTATGGAGAAGGAAGTATATAATATTCATTTAGGCTTAAGGATTTTGTGGTCTAATGGATGCTAAGAGTTCAAATAAAAAAAAGTCAAATGGAAGCGTGAGTTTTCTTGTCAATGAAAAAATAAAGCATACAATACTCCGGATACTTCGAAAACTTTTCATTTCTATTGAAAACTCCATACTTCTTCATTATTAAAGAAAAAAAAATGATTATTGTATCGATTTGTGTAAATTACTAAACATACTTATTTTAATTAGTCCATTTATACAATAAATAAAAAAGTAGATCCCTTCACTTACTTGTATTATGCATAAATAACTAATAAAAATTTTGGATTAAGTAATTCAATGCAATAAATCGGTTAAAGTATCACTGCTTTTAAAGACAATATATAAATTTCATTAGAAGGAGTACCACTGGTTAAAATACCCGCAAATACCCAATGTATTGAATATTTGCAGTGTGTTGTATACTATCTCTGTAAAGATGTTTGAGTTTTGACATGTATCACTGCTCTTTTCAAACCAATCAGGATTTTTATTTTATTTTATTTACTTATTTATTTCCTTTGATGACATGGAACATTTTCAATTACTTGGTAATTTACTTATACATGAGAGATTATTAGCAAATAATGCAAATAATTTAGGAAGGGTTAAAATGCAAGACATCCGAGTTTTCTCTCTATCAGTTTCTTTTGCAAATCATATTTACAATTAGGTTCAATTTGGTTAAATGAAAGGTAGTAGTTAAAAAAATAAAAAAGGGAAAGTAACTAAAGTGAGGTGAACAAAAGAAAGTAAATTTTCAAGTGCATTTGATTAGCAATTAAATTATTATTTTTTTTCAAAAAAAGCATGAAAAAGTATCATTTTATAATTTCAATTGCATGAAACTTATCACAATATAAATACATTATTGTAAGCTTATAAAATTTTTTCAAAAAATTTAAGTGAGTTATTTAATATTTTTTTAAAAGAAAAGAAAAATTACTTCTAAATTATTTAGAAATTTTCATTTCATTTATTTTCTTGCTAGAAGGGGGAAAATAAATAAATAAATAAAAATCGGCATTCCTAATAAATTGATAAAAATCTCACACCTTTGCCTTCAGTTTCTCGCGATTGCCTCAATTTTTGCTTTTGGTTGATTGCCGCTTTCTCATTTCAAAATTCGAAGCTTTTCAAATCTGATTTTATAGGGTTTCAAATAATCTCTCTCTCTCTCTCTGTGCAAGGGTTTTGGAATGGAACCCTTAGCTTCAGTAGGCGATAAACTGAAAGGGTTTGCGAAATCGACCCAAGACTTTACCAGCGGCGTCTTTCACTGGCACGACAAATCCAAGCGCCGCAATCCGGTACTCCCAATCTTCTATCTATCTATCTCTCTCTCTCTCTCTCTCTCTCTCTCTCTCTCTCTATATATATATATATATATATATATATATCATTCTCTATATTTATATGCACAGGCTGTACCGCCGCAAAATAGATATTTTGATGCTCATCTTTGATCTTTAAATTCATTAGACCTAATATTGTTCATAAATTTTCTGTTTATATTACTTAGATTTGTTTTGATCATATTCATTGTATATTTATTGGGAGAAAAAAAAAAAAAAAAAAAAAAAAACTTTGCTAGGAGAGGTTTTTGGTATATTTATGGGGAAAAATCGTGGCTTCTGGATTCTGATTTAAACATTTTCTTAAATGCATTTTAAGGGTGGAGTGAAATATCTGTTCATTTTCCATGAATTTACCTTCAATTTTCTTACTAGAAAACGTTGAAAATGATCATCAGTGTCACCCGCACGAGTTCAAGCCTCTGAGCAGCCATTTTGTAAAATACTAAAGGTTAGGTCTGTCTCGAGCCCTCCCTCTCTAGTCTCCAGGACCTTGCTGTAGAGGCAGCATAACTGGCAATGTCCCTACCCCGGCTAGATTTATTCTTACCTACAACAATAAATGTGTTGTGACTGCGTACATCTGACCCTCCCTAGACCCCACAATTGTGGGGAGCCTCGTGCACTGCCCATGTCCATTGTCGTCCACTACTGGTTTACAATGATAAAGTATTTAGAAAATCAATCAAAAGTATAATCTGTTTTGGAATTGCAAGTCGAGCCTGACTATACGAGTAACCTTTGGAGGAGGGAGGAGTGAGAATCTTTCTAAATTAAGCAGAACCCTGTCAAGCTTTGCTCATTTGCAATTAATTATTCTTATTGCATGAATACCCGTTTTCAGATTATCTTTAAACCATTAAATTGCAGCCATGATATAGCCTCCATATAATATTGAACTATTATCCAGCTTATGTTGTTTGGTTATTTTTGGGTGAACAGGCCACGCAGAGTTCACTTTTTGGTTTGTGTTTTAATTCCTATTTGTCAAACTATTCTGATCTGGCTGAAATTGGCATCCTCTTTTCTGGTGACTATTTGAAATACAGATATTCCTTCCCTTAAGGTTGATACCATCTCAATGAAGAGGACTTCTCTCTTCTGGGATGTAATTATGTAAACGAAGATAAAGGTTCAGTACAAGAAAATCAAATGAACAAATGTTATCAACATTCCATAGCATACAAGTTGTTAACATTGTTGATACAATTGTAAATAAAGCTAATTGATCAAAGTCCATGAACTGCCGAATTGGCTACTGGAATTGAAACTAAGCCTGGGGTTCCTCTCCTGTTATTCTTTGGGCTGTTTTTTTGGCGGTGATGGCATGTAAAAGTGCTTTTCTTCCCTTTTTTCATGTGCTTTGGTAACTCCTTCCACCAAGCTTTGCCACTTGTGTTTGCACTAATTTCTATCGCATTGCTTAATCCCAGCTGCTTCAGCCATATGAAATTTTGGTTCAAACTTATATGATTTTCTACTGGATATTTACTATTTTTTAAAATCAAGATGCTTTTGGTATTTGTGCTGTGATTTACCTTTGGTTAGAAGCCACTAAAAACTAGAATCCTTTGAAAGGATCTTCTGATTAATCGAGAGATTAATGAGAATCCAAAAACAGTGCTCAGCATGTGGGATACTTGTTGCATTTTCTTTTTTGGAAGTTAAAAACTTATGTCTTCTTTCTTAAAATTTGAATAACTTACTGGTTCTCAAGGATCACAAAAGGGGTAGATACCATTAGTTGCTATTATGAGCGGTGTCTCTTGCCGGGAAGCATAATGTTCGAGTCCTGGTTGAGAAAGAGGTGTGTGTAGTGCCTATAAAAAAATAAATTGTTGAACCATTACCCATTACCAGTATTCCAATTAACACACATTAGGTACTGCTGGCAAACATTCTATTGCATGGTCATCTTTGAGTTGTCACACTCTGTTTTGCTTTTCGTTATTTTGAGTTTGACAAATTTGCTGCTCCCGTAGGTAGGGGCAAGCTGTATGATGGAGCTTTACAACTCTTCCCATGATATGATTTTCAGATTGAAATTTTGAAGCGCTTGCAGCGAGAAGCATTTTCAGATCTTATGAAACTTAGGGATAGACAAGACAAGGTGGAGAGAGTGCTTTCCTTCTACAAGCCTTCCAACGGAAGTCCATTCCAAGAAACCAGCACACACATAAGGGGAGAAGTTGACGTATTGGGGGCTTTACTAATGATGGATAATGTTGATCAACAGAAACATGATGCAATTAGCAGTGCAGGAATCCGTACTGGTATTCATTCTAAATTCACTTTTGAGACTACCATTCGGCAAAAAGATACTCTTGTAGCAGAGTTTGTGGCCAGTGAAAAAGGCCAGAGTGATGTTTTAGGCAGTCCACTTTCACTAGCAAAAGTCTTTTATGCCGCAAATATTAGTGACTGGTTCTCTGCTATTGCAATTCCAATGGGAGCTCACTGCAGGGATGTTGGAGTTGCTACAAATTCTTTTTATCAGGTAAAGTCTATCTGGTAATTTTTATCTTTGGTGTTTTGTTTGTGTTCCAGCACTGGTATTTTTGGATATATACACCTTTTTTTATTGGTTGTGTTTTATCATTTCTACCATACAGTGATTTGAGTTCGTATGCATGAGAATAAATAATCAATCAGTTACATGTACTTGTAAGTGCTTATGGCCTGCAAGTGAACATGATGTGATGATCTTAACCTTTTGATGGTTCTGCAAATTGTTTGTTTCTTTTGCCAACTCTTTTGAGCGTCACTTGTTCCTGGTTGCACAGTAGGAGTCTTTAGTGATATTCTTTTGTGCTTTTTTCTCTGTGGCTATGACTTTTTCTTTGCATGTCAAGGTTAATTAGATTGGTTGTATTAGCGAGGATGGTCCTGTTTGTGTATTCATAATGTTGTGTCAAAATTAACTTTTAAGCATAATGTTGGAGTTGTTCTATTTTACTTTCCGTGTTTTGCCTGTATATAAGTCTTTGCTATTTTTCAAGTCTGGCTCCCGATTTTCAACGACGGGGTAACGATGAATTTATATGCTTTTGGCAGAGAGGAGGTCTTACTAACTACTCATCGCATGGACCATCACTTTTGAATGAACATAGGGGCAGCGCCGTTGGCCTAATGGTGAGAAAACCAAATGTTGTTGCTTCTTTGGCTCAATTTGTCTCAGTACTGGGGATGCAACCTGGTTCTATTGGAATAACACGTATTTTCGGCACTTTTGGGCAAATTGTCTGCCAGCTTTCAAGAAGCACAAAACTCTCTCTTATGGGCATACACCAAGTGCCTAAATTATCAAGTCAACAGGTCAGTCTGGGAGCCCTAGCAGTGCCAGTTGGCCTTTTCAACCGCCGTAAAGGTCCTGAAGCAGTGATGGAGGCATCTTCTCCTCCCATTGAGACACACACAGAGGAAAATGTCATGGCTGGATCAATTGCTGTAATGCTGGAATCAGAGCTTGATGAGAGTACTAGAATTGGCGGTTGGCTTGAGATGCAAAAATCAAATCCCAAACATCTACAATGGGCTGTTACCATGTCTGATACACCCGAAGATGATTTTGGATGGGGTTTGAGCTTGGCTGGGTCAATCCAAGGTCCCAAGAGTTGGGACCATTTTCAGGCTGAAACCTTTCTGAACTTCAACATCGGTAAGAGATGCCGCTTGCAGCCAGCTCTTGTATATGTGATGGATGGAACTGCCCAGTTTCCCGCCCTTATGTTTCGGTCTAGTTGGTCCTTGTGATCACTCCTGTCTTTCCCCTGTTAAATGATTGGGTTGTCCGTTAGTTGGCGGACATCTATCATCATCGGAGTAAGTACTCTTGTCCATCTTTTTTGCTCAGTAATATTATAATAATATATTAATGATGATATTGTTTTCATCCTTATAGATTTTGATTTTAATATGATTGCAATAGAGAAGTAAGAACTATTGTAGCTGTAAGAATCAGGACATCATACAAGTTTACACTTAACACATGATAAATGGTTACATTTTGTAATTCTAATTTGAGTAAAGGACCAATGTCGACCGTCTGATATTTGATCTGGCGGAAGAGATTGGATGAGAGAGAAATCCAAGAGGCGAATGCACTTCAGACGAACCTGTTGATGTACTTCGGGAGGATCTGATGGACGAGGATTTTGTATGCTCTCTCAGTGGGATGATAACTGTCCCAAAATAGATAAACAGAGTCATCTGGGCATGTCATGCTCAATTTGTTACATAGCACGGATACTTCTATTTTTCCCGTACCACAACACCCTTTGTCCACAACATCAAAGCCTGAAATAATTTATATAACCCATAGGTTTATCATTAGAAATTTGAAATATTAATATAACAAACATTAAGCATCTGTTTAATATAGTCTTTATATGCCATTTTTCAAAATAGGAAATAGAAATATATAGTTAGTGTAGGTGATTTACCATAGTTATGAGGGTTTTGGATGATGTCTATCAAAGGGTTGTAGACATCTAGATAGACAACCCTGGATTGAGCAAGGCTGGTTTGGAGCGAATCAAGCGCACGGGACAGCTTGGTGTTGAACAACTGGGCAGCTTGGTTATACTCCTCCTTGCACATTCTAAGTAGTCCCCCTGCCAGAGTTCTCTGCGACGGCACACACCCCACCGGCGGAGCACCGAAAACAGCGATCCTTCGTGCACCCAGTCGATATATTTCCTTCAAAACCCAATTTAATATCAAAAGTTAGATCTATATCCGTTTTAATATTAAATGTGACTCTCAATTTACTAAATGCTGGTACATGCCATGACTAAAAAATGTTACCTTTATGAAAGTGGAAGCTGAGCCAAGCATAAGATCAGTGTAGGAATCAACATTGAAGAGGAGTTTCCTGAAACCAATGGTGAAATAGGTATTGGCAAGGTCATCACTGCCTGCTACTATTACAAAGAAGCTGTTGGCTAAAATGTAGTTAGTTTTTTCTTCTCCCACTGTCCCTTTTAGCTTCCCTATGTATTCTTTGAACATGCCCAGTTGATCCGAAAACGATAGAACTGACTGATTTATTTGAGAGAGAGATAGAGAATTAATGAAAAATTAAATTTGTGGACAAAAAAAAAAAAAAATGCTGTAGATATAATATGTATTGAAATATGTTTGTACCGCTATCCTAGGTGTTTGAGGATCATATCCTGTGCCTCCTGAAGCGAAGCTTACACCGGTGGGAAGATCTTCAGTATTCAGACTCGGGTCTAGATATGCCGGCAAAATGTCTCTGATTCCTAATTCTTCAGCTGAAAAGAAAAGTATATTTCATATGAATTAGCTAAATTTAAGATACAAAAAATGAAAACAAGAGGATCCACCTTACCTGCATTGAGTTCTGGAAAGTGAAAAAATTATCGATAAATAGACGGATGAGCTTGGAAGAACACTAGCCCAACCCAATTTGATGGGAGATGTGGGCTTGGGCTGCCCCACTAATTCAACTGTTTCATGTTTACCCTTTTGAGGTCTTTTGGTGATCGTTCGGCCCACTTCATTCATTCGAGACTAAAGCAAAAATGTTGATGATTTTTACTTTGACCTCCACTAAATTGGTTTTCCGATTTTTGAAAAGTGACAGTGATGCCTTGATTTTTGTACAAGAGAAGGGTAAAATTATCATTTTATAAAATTTGGTCAACAAATTTGCTAGAAAGAAAACCTCCAAACTTCAAGGGTCAAAGTAATAAATATTGAACATTTTATTTGTGTATAATTTGTCCAAATCTCAAGGGAGATCAATATAATTTATCCTAAAAATTTTAATTCAGAGTCTACTAGATTCTCAATCTCAAAAGTGTTAAAGCCACGTGAATAGATTATAAAATTTCAAACGGTCTAGAATGTTATGTTTGATCATTCAAAACATTTTCTCTGCAACCAGATTATTTTATTCAAAATGTTGTTTTTGGCTCAATAAAGTTAAAAGTTTGTATCGAATCTATTTCTTTTAACACTCTCGATGGATGAAGATATTGAAGGCTATAAGCAACGACATTTTTTAACCCTAAATAATTTTAGAATTTTGTTGTTGTATACTTTGTCTAAAATATCACGTATAGTTGCATCTATTTGTGTGAAAAGAAGTCTAAGAAAAACTATATATAAAGAGAGAGAGTGTGTTTGATTGCTACCTATCAAGTCTGCAGGGGTTTTCCCATTGCAAAACCTTCCTGTTGGTATTCCACCCCCAAAGTCCCTCCCATATGGAGGGAAATTGGCTTTAATTAACGTCAGGAGGTTATTGTTGTTCCCTTGGTCCACGATCGAATCTCCGAACGCTATCACTGCCGGGAAAGTTACGTTTTCCGGCAGCTTTACGATTGCATCACCAGTGCACAAAAGAAGAAAAGCAAAGAGAAGTCGGAACAACCTAGAAATGGAACAACAGGATGAAGAATTAGAAGACAATTTCATAAAGAAGACCAACATTGTCATGAACACACTAGTATTGAGACTGCGTGTGTATTAGAAAGGAAATAAATTAAAAAAAAGGTTCAAGCTTTGTGTGTGTAGTGTGTGTCTATGGTTTTTTATAAACACTTGCATAGTGGTGATCTTTAATACTATTATTAGCTAAAAACGCGGAGATGGACATTGAAAAATGCAGGTAGCTCCGCACATTAATATAATTGATAGGATGATAGTGATTTAAATTTATTTGACTCAGTAAACCCTTTTAAGTTCACTCAAAATGCATGGCTTGCTATAACATCCTTTATTTTTCACAAGTTTACGTGGTTTCACGCTATTATTAAATCCATAATATGCCGTATATACATATTTGTCAAACAATCGAGGCCATTATATGACACATATAATATATATATATATACGGGTATAATATATATATATATATATATATATATATATATATATATATATATATATTATATCGTAATATATAATATAGATCACATAGATTGAATAAAGCTTTAGATTATACACATACACATATTATATATATAGAAGACTATAACCTGAGTTTGAAAACTCCGAATACGACCACAAGCCTTTAGATACAACCAGCGTGTGTTCATAGCGAATTGATGGAAGATTAATGATGTATAAGCCGAAGGTATTATAATAATATATTATTATTCATTGGTTATTGTGTATATTTATTTTATATTTTATCTTTTTCAATTTATTTCTTAATACATAAATATTTGCTATAAAAATTCAATTTTGCCTAACAAAGCAAAAAAAACATTAATTTTATTTGTTTCAATTCATTATCTTTGTTGAATCTTAAGAAGAAAAGAAAAAAAAAAAAAAAAATTGTAAGTTTTACATATGGGGGTGTTCATCATCATTCAGACCGAGTGAAAGACGGATAATATATATATATATATATATAAAGAGAGACATGTTAGAAAGAAAAAGCAAAGGCTAAGGAAATGGGTCCAATGGGGGTAGAAATGTCATTTTATACAGGAAATAATTTTTTTTTGTAAGTCAATATAAAGCCACAAGGTCAACAATGTCATTTTATAAGCAAAAATGTTCTGACAAATAACTTTTGGGGTAAGTCAACCTAAAGTCACAAAGGCAACAATGTCATTTTATAAGTAAAAACTATTTTGATAAGTAATTTTTGGGATGTGAGTGAAAAATATAATGTGAGTAATAATAATTTTTAATGTGATTTTTGACTAAATCTGAGAGATTATCAATAAAATTAACTCTATTTATTTTTGTGAGAAGGTTATCTGCCTTGTAGTTAATTATTATTATTATTATTATTTTTAAAAAATAGTCCGTCCATTTAAGTATTCCTCTGTGATGAGAAGATATATTAATGGGAAAAGAATGGTTCCAACTCCCAACCAATTAAGGAACCCAAACATCATCAGGTCAACCAATCAATCAATAAACATCAATTTTAGAGAAAATTACATATAAATAGAGTCAAAGTTTCATATTTACTTAGAGATTGAGTCAAAGTTCCATATTTCTCTAAAATGGATTGCTGAGGTGGCACATGATTTTTTACTGTTTAAAAAATTGTGGTGCCTAAAATGCCCTTCCCTAATAAAAAAGTAGTACCTTCAGTTCAAAAAAGTAGTACCTTCGGAGAAAAAGTAGTACCTTCGCGAGTGTTTAAAAAATATGGTACCTGGACGCCAAAAAGTAGTACATTCAGTTCAAAAAAGTAGTACCTTCGAAGAAAAAGTAGTACCTTCGCGGAAGGGTATTTTAGGCATCACAATTTCTAAACAGTAAAAAACCATGTGCCACCTCAGCAATCCATTTTAGAGAAATATGGAACTTTGACTCAGCCTCTAAGTAAATATGGAACTTTAACTCCATTTATATGTAATTTTCCCTCAATTTTAAAACTAGCCTTTTTCTCCATTTCTCCTAAACCTAGAATGAAAATGATGCGTACACTTTAAATCTAAGTTATTGATCCAAATTCAACAAAATAGATCCTACTGTTTTACCCAAGAGAATTCGGGTCTAATAATCATTATAGATCTAATTTGAGAGAATATGGACTCCTTTACCCATCACATTATACTAATTAATATCTTGAACACCTTTAACGGCGAATCATTATATTTTTAAGAAAAAATGATTAAACATGACTCATGATGATAAATACATACATCCACAATTCAAATTAGATATGGGTAGTGAAATAGGATCCTATCATATCATCCAAAGACATGACTACTCAGGCCACATGTTTTAATTGGTGATACAATAGGATCCATATCATATCCATTTCACTGTTGGGCCGGTTCTCTCATTCACGCCAAACGACCCAAAAAAAATAAAAAAACTAAGCTGGTAAGAACTTACGATTGAAGTAATAGACCTAAGATGGTAAATTTTCCTGGTGGTGGGTTTTCACCCATTCCACTCTGGACGGATTTGGTAGTCCTCAAATGGATTTGGAACGAGTATGACAAAATAAAATAAAAAATTTGAAAAGAATTTGGGACAGAAACGAATTTAGTGATAAATCTACCTCGACCTTACTCCGATTATATATGTAATTTTAAAAAAATTATATATAATATTTTTAAGATACTTATTATTTTATTGGACAACTTATTTATCAATCAAATTTGAACACATTGGTGTTTTTTTTTTTTTTTTTTTTGAAAGGTAACTTAACTATATCCTTTTATTTATTTATTCAATCATTGATTTATCAAATCCACAATTTTATTGATTCGAAAAGTTGAAATTTTTGCACCGTTTAGAAGATCAAAATACTAACGGGTGAAATACCCTTTCGGGAAAAACAATGAATAACAATTATATATGGGTCTTGAAGTTGGGTTATGGTTTCACCTTTAAATATTTGGTTATTGGTTAGGTTTTTGCTAAGCTAGAGGTGAAGGCAATAGCGCCAATCATGATCTCGCCGGAGAATATTACTCCTCGATGGTTCTTCGGAAAAATAACATTTTGCCAGAATATCACTAGTTGGGTCACGGGAAAAAATGATGTTTCGTCGGAATATCACTAGGTGGGTCGCCGAAGAGTGTGTTAGAGAGATAGAGAAATAGGTAATGGGTAATTTTCTAAAAAGTATGGATAATTTTGTCCTTATTGTATTAGTATTTGTATAATTTTGTATAAGTTATCGTATTTGTAATTATATTATATTAAATGGCTTTATACACCCATTCTTTTCTAATACTGTAGCTTTTTAAATTATGGCCTAAAAAATTGTCAAATTTTTAAAACTTTCATTCAATTACAATTTGACATGCAAATAAACTTGTAGCCTTTTTTCAAAATTTTGCTCATATATCGAGTTATAGGGATCTGAATCATGTAATTCCAGATTATATAATAATTTCAAGTTGTATTAAATTTGGTTTAGTCTCCCAACAATATGAAGCTTAAATCTTGTATGATGATAAATGGTTAACAATAAGGCGTGATAAATGGTTACATTTTGTAAATCTGATCGAGTAAAAGGACCACCGTGGTCCGTCCGATGGTGTTGATTGGATGGAACGGAAGAGATAGGACTTTTGTTCAATCAATAAACACGAGAGCCATAAATTTAATTTTAAAACTAGCCTTTTTCTCCATTTGTCCCAAACCTACTATCGCCAAATTTCAACCATGGGGAACGGTTGTGACCCAAAATTAATTTGATTCATATATATATATGTGTATAAAATATTTATGTCACCTACTTTGTAACTATGATCATCAGATCTTAATGCACACAATAATTTTTCAAACTATATATATGAATATCTTCACGATCAATCAATAACTAATGTTGTTTTTGCATAATGAAAATGATGTCTAGCCTTTAAATCAAAATTACTGACCCATACCGAACGAAATAGATCCTGTTATTAGATCCTATTATTCTACGTGAGAGAATTCGGGTTGGCTTTGTATGACCATAAAAAACAATAATTATAGATCTAATTTGGAAAAATATTGACCCCTATTGCCTATGCTCATCACTTAGTTATATTTAGTATAAATAGTTAATTAAAAATTATTAAGTAAGATAATTCATTGTAAATGTTCGGTGTGAGTATCACTATTCTTATACATTAAGAAAAATAATTTTTGTACCAAATAGTTACAGTGAATTGGTAGACCTATTTTTTAATTTGTCAGTTATATAATAAATAAAAAAAAGTAGAACTCAGCAATTCTTTATATTTTAAAGAAAAATGGTTAGACATGAGGTGATAAACACGTACATCCATAGATCAGATATGGTTAGTGAAATAATAAGAATTGATCAGATATGGTTAGTGAAATAATGAGAATTGATAAAGGTTTGAGTCAAGGACATGACTACTTGGGCCACCTGTTCTTGTTGGTTTTACAACAGGAACCATATCATATCCATTTCACTGTTGGGCCGATTCTCTCATTCACGCATAACGATTCAAAAATAAAAATAATAATAATAATGTGTAGACGTTAAATCAAAATCGAAGTTATTGATCCGAACTAAACAAAAAAATTATACAAAATACGTCTAATTGTTCTATCGGAGAGGATTCGAGTCCTCCTTTTTGACCATAAAAAGCATAGATGTAATTTGTGACCATATTGACCCTTATTGTCTATGCTCATCACATTGTACTAATTAATATCTTGAACAGCTTTAACGGCAATTCATTATATTTTTAAGAAAAATGATTAGAGGTGATAAGCACATACATCCACAAATCAAATCAGATGTGGTTAGTGATATATGAACCTATCACATCATCCAAGGACATGACTACTTGGTTGGTGATACAATAGGATACATATCATATCCATTTCACTGTTGGGCCGGTTTTCTCATTAACGCAAAACGACCCCAAAAAAAAAACAAAAAAAAAAACAACTTTGAACTGAAGTAATAGACAAGGATGGCAATTTTTTCCTGACCGGATGGGTTTTCCCCTGCCCC